AAGAGAATCTCAAAAGAAAGACTGTTGTATTATACCTATCTAACATATTCAGCATTTGAAAAGGAAAGAAAAATTTTTATTGGCGATTTTGAACCTCCCCAGAAGCGCAATTTATTCATGGAAAATTGAACATACTTAATCCAACTTACGTTTCGCAAATATGGAAGACAGTATTCGAACCAACATTAAAAGGCGCATTTTTGGTATACAAATCATCACGAATGACCACGGTCACCAAGTATCCTTCCCTTAGGCCTAAGGCATACCTCGCGCGAGCAACTCTTCGTAATTCGTCGTTAATGCGCTGCCTTTGGTCAGAACTTGCGTTTGCAACAACTTACACAAGCTACCCAAATATGCGTTCGAGAAGTGCGCATGATAAATTTACAGAAATCTGGCAAATCGCCAAGTCACGTGATAGTGGCGATTCGGCCGAACAGCGCGAGGTATGCTTACTTATTAGCGATATCAAAAGCAGATTTGATATCGCAGATTTGAAATCAGCGCTAAAGATGCATTCAGTGATGTACATTTTATTTCAAAAAGCCACTGTCAGCAAGCATCCTTTCCTTGTAAAGCCAGCCCTACAATATGCTGCTAAAGAAACTGTGGGAACTTTCCAGATGAGAGTGTCAACAGCGGCAAAGGTTCGATACATTTTTGAAGACCCTGTGTAACATATTCGCTTGTAGCCAAGAAATTCCCTCCCTGACTCTAGGTCAATACTAAGTACTTCAAGCGGACAAATCAGTGTCTAGAACGAGTACTGGGCAAGACATTTGACTAGATGAATTACGTGAACTCCCGCCTGTATAATGGCTTGGTAAATGTACGAAGTTCCGGTGTTAGTAGCATTCTTTGCACTCAGAGGAGTGTGAGATGGCGAATATTGAAGGCACAACACCCCCCCCCCCCTCATCGTCAGCTTATCAGTAAGTTCCGATGCCCAGTGGAATGTGTTGGTGTTATATTTGTATTCCTTTCAATATTAGTAGCTAACACTATTGATAAGCGCAGTCGCGTCTTATATGTTTCTCTCATTGTTTAACTCTTTGTAATAGTTACAATTTGGCTTTGTATTATCTTGTCGTTGCATTCGCACAGCTGCTCTCACAGATTCACAGTACCTCATTTTCATATCTTTGATTAGTCTTTTCATAATGAATTTCAGTTACCCAATTTTGAGAAGGCTGTGTAGCAAGCCAGACAAGTCCCGCGTGGCAATCCTAAGCACACATTTGAATGACCACGTTCAAAACACTTCCCTTTCAAATCATTAACCACACAGCAAATTCTTTTCAGGCTGAAATCACTGACGATATCGTATTCCATTAAGACATCTCAAGTCGCCATTTACAGCGAGACCTGGTTCGTTATGTGTGGAAGGTAATGTTGTTTACCATTTTGTTCTCCTATTTGTCAAGCACTTTTCTGCAAGAAATAGTGACCGTCTTTTTGCGATGACAACTTGCACAAGCTAAAGTAAGGCCACAACACGGTCTCACTAATGCACCATTTAGCGACTAATGTGATTCCGGTGGTTGGCCTTATTCCAGCAGGCGTTTAGTCTTCTTTCTGTTGAGTAAAGCTAGCAAATCTCCGCAGTGGGAGGAGAGCGGAGGGGGATAGGAAAATAAAACAATTTTTCAAACGACAGTTCATGTCATCCGGTAATTACATCACATTAATCTACTTGCATAGAATAGCATTGGTTATTCTGCTTTGAAGAAGGCGGGATAGAATCTACTTAATTGAAAAAAATCTAGCTAAGTACGCAGGGTTGAAAACAGAAAAGTAGAACGTACTTTCACGTAAGATCAATATGCATTCATTTTTAGGGAGATATTGAAAAAATTATGAAATCGACCTTTTCCAATCCATTATACTTGCAGAAAATAACTTTGGTTGTTCTGCTTTGAAAGAAGGCCTGGGATAGAGTCTGTAATTGAGAAAAAAATCTAGCTCAAGTGCGCAGGTTTGAAAACAGAAAAGATTGTTAGACCAATATGCATTTTTAGGGAGATATAGGAAAAAATTACGAAATTGACATGACACTGAGATCGAGATCAAGCAGAGATAACCATATCTGCTTGAAACGAAACCGGCTTCTCCAGCCCAATATAAAAAGTGAAATTGTATTTAATTCATTTAAAGTGCAAATATGAATGCAGAAAAAAGCAAGAGATTTTTTGGTATTTTCATAATCAAATGTCATCGAATACGAGTAAGAACCAAAGCTTTGTAAATACGGATACATAATTGCGAAACCAGCTACCAAATGCGTCTAAAAGTTGTTAAGCGCTGCTGTTAACACTTTTGGAAGTACTCTGAACAAGGAGAAGTAAGCAAGTTTCTTTCATACTTTCCCAGAAGCTATTTCGTAATGAGGAACTCAACAAAGGGAAGAAAATCAGATTGAGTGCAAATTGGTAGAAGACTCAGTTCATGAAGAGGATCCTTTGTAATGATGCGGAAATAAAATTGGAAAACGCTTATAATATGGAGACGTCTTCTTACGCTCTCTTGTACAGTGCTGGCCAAAACTATAGATCCACACTGAAAAGTGCCGTAGTTCATCTGCTTCTCAACGAACAGATCTGAAATTTGGTACAGCTTGTGTTTAACGGGCTACCATCGGTAACCAGAACGGATTCCACTTTTGTTCAAATGTTCAGAAAAAATTGCAAATTTTGAAAAAAGCGGGCTTGGAAGCTGGCGAAAACTACAGATCCACCCAAAGTTTCTGTCCACTGAAGTAATTCTCGGCTTTCAAAGTCTTTTGTGCATATACATAATCATAATTCAAAACAGTCGCTCCATTTCAGCTTTGTCATACATTTATGAGGAACGCTTATTTGCGTTTTTTCACTAAAAAAATACTCTCATGCGTTTATTGTTTCCGAGAATGTCTTTTTAAGGGTGATTCCGTTTTCAACTGGTTTGGAAACGATAGAGCTCCGTCTATCTTATAGATGCTTAACGAAGTGAGCACCAGAAGAAAAATTTTCGTGTTTAAAGTGCACCCGTCATAGACCTAACAACAAGCCTGCGCTCAGATTTTTGCCTTCGAAATTGGTTTATGCTATTTTTGTAAGCTCACAATAATGTAGAAAGCACGGTTTACATGAGAAGAGGTTTGTACACTACTCACAATTCTTCGCCAAGTCGCATTTTGCTTCGTTTTTAAAGCATAAGGTCTAGCGGTTCAATGATAATGTTGGGCAATCTCGAAATACACACCAAGTTGTACCTTTCCTGATTTTTTGCCACTTTGCAGCTGCTAAATAGTGAAAACACCCTGTGTTCTGTGTTGCCTTGTGACGCACATAAGCATCATGGTCAGAACCAGAAATAATTTCAAAGCTTGTTGCAAATCAGTTTTATGCAGAATGGAGTCCTCAGTTAGACTGCATGCTAGGATCTGCAGAAATCTGCAACCACTGCATTCGGACTCTTATACATACTAACAATGTCATTACTCCAGTTCACGCTCATGAGAAAAATTGCAGAAAGATGAAGGCACAAATTTGATTGCAAGCTTGCTGTTAGATCTATGTCGGGTGCGCTTTGAATACGAAAATTCGAATTTTCCTCTACTGCTCACATCGCAAGCATCTGTAAGATAGATGAAGCCTTATCGCTTCGAAACCAGTCAAAAAAGTGCGGAATCCTCTCTAAAAACACATTCTCGGGAACAAAATACGCATGAAAGTATTTTCAAATGAAAAAAAAAACAGATAAGAGTTTCTTATAAAGGTATGACACAGCTGGAGTAAAACTGTTTTGTTTTCGACTACATACATGCACAAAAGACTTTGGAAGCTGAGAATAACTTTAGTGGGCAGAAACTTTAGGTGGATCAATAGTTTTGGCCAACCTTCAAGCCTGCTTTCAAAATTTTTAATTTTCCCTGAATAATCAAACGAAAACGGGATCCGTTCTGGCTACTGATGGTAGCCTGTTAAGCGCACAGCTGTACCAAATTTCAGATCAGTTCGTTGAAAAGCGATGAGCTACGGCGGTCAGAGTGGATCTACAGTTTTAGCCAGCATTGTACCTTAGATGAACATGGAGGACGGTTAGAAGAACTTAACAGAAGAAGGAGTGCAGCATGGGCCGCCTTTGGGTCCCCAAAGGAAGTCACCATCAAGTGGCGGGCTTTGACTTCGCCCCACCTGTTCGACTCAGGCCCTGGGCATACCTCACGCAATTTCATTTGCGACCGATTTTGCGAAATTCATATCTCTACGTAAGGGATTTCTGAATGTAGCACTGGTGAGGAGCAGCGAGAACACTACACCAACGGGTATACTTCTTAGCACCGGAACCGATTAACTGCATGAAGAATTCCCAATTTTCGCGGTTTGGAATTTTCAGGCTTACAAATTGGTTCAGAAGTAACAATTCTGGATTCTTATCTGCGAGGGTAGTGTGCAATTTTGAATGTTCCACTTAAAAAAATCGCTTTAGCCGTTCCTGTAATTGGGCTAAGGCGGTCATCTTCCTACATTCTCACTCGTCGAGCTCGAGTGTGCACGGCTACGGAAGCTGCCATAGCCTTTGCTTTACTTTATAGAACTGTTGACTAGTTCTCTAGTGAAGACAATCTGTAGCTGAAATTTTGAGCTGAATTGCCGCGCACGGCGTTCAGTGAACCCGATCTTTGATTAGCTCTGATTTTCAACAGTCGAAGCATATATCTCACTCAGGAAAAAGGCTTAGAAGCTAGTCAATTTTTGAGTAGTGATTGCTGATCTAACAAATTCAGCGTTACAAGTTTAGAATAATTGGATGCAAACTGGCTAGAAAAATCGTTTACAAAAAGTTCCGAACCCCGATTTTTGAACGATTAATTTTGAATCCGTTACATCGATTTATTTCGTTTCATCGTCAACCAGTGCATTAGTGGAGATAAGAATGAGATTCGAATGTATAATTTCGCGGATTAAACAGTGCCATCATGCCCTCTCGTGGGTGCCCAATGAGTCATACAACAAATATGTAGATACTCGCATACAACAAGATTTTGAATGTTCATTCGACCGCATGTCACTGTTTCATTCTGCTTTGGTTCTTCTCGCTACGATTCTGCCTGCTTTTGCCCTCCTTCAATGTTACGAAGGTACATATAAATTTGCAAGCATATGACAACAACAAAATTATGTATATATTGAGTAAACTGTGATGTATCAATGTTTGCAAATGAGACCCGTATAACACATTAATATGCTTTACGCTATGAAGTAAGAGACACCTCTGCTTTTGATTCTAATTTTACTATTTATTGTGGAGAAAAATTTCTGGTGACTGCTTTTGACACCATGATCCGAATTAGATATTTCAGTTTGAAGATTTTTTAATTTATTCACCCCTGACGCGACACCATCAAATTCATGAAGTGAGCCTGTCAGCTTGAGAACACAGTACCAGTGAGTTCAATTCTGTTCTGATAATTCTTTTTTTCAGCATTCTCAACAACCAACCCTGAAGATAAGGTGCCTCGATATTGTCCTGAGGGGACCCATTGCATGAAGTACAGTTTTCTATTAAAAAGAGTTAAATCAAAGTAATTGGAGTCGATTATAGCTTAACAGAAGTAAAATTGACAACCAGAACCTATCAATTTGGTTGCAGTGCTGGAACGTGCTCGGTAAGCTACAAATTTCATAAGCGCTTATTTGCGATTTACGTACAGCTAATAAAACATTTCTAAAGCGTGCAATGCAATTAAAATTTATACGCATCAAACACGCCGTTGTATGTTAGCATATACCCCGGAACTTTTGTGCTCTATCGAAAAATTGTAACTTCAATGTTGGTTGAAACAATATGGTTTACTTGAAGTGGTGGGCAGAATAAGCTCTTACAGTGAGTGTGGCACACGTCCAATATGTTGAAAGCAAGCACTCACAAGGGAAGCTTGTTTAGTCGAAGTTGCCTTTCTAAATGAGATGTATACCATATTGAAGGCTATAAAACGCTGATTCCAAATCTGCTTTCCTTATCTGCAGAGCGTCTGCGGACGAGGAGTTGTTAGCGTTTCTGGAGCCAAAAAATTGAGTGTGCATTTTGGATAAAATGAGTTGCTAAAATCTTACTAGTTCTCAGACTATGCAACAAGTTTGATATATTTTTTATTTTAGAGCATTTTTGAATAGAGTGCTGTGATGATCATTACTGTTCCATTCAAGAGAAAAACTTTTACGGCTATTCTTGTCCTGCTTGCAGATTCATTTTTTTGCTCCATAAAGCGTTCATAACTCCTCGTGCATAAACGTTCTCAGGTAAGATAGGCAGATTTGGAATCAGCATTTTATGCTCTTCAATATGGTATACAACCCTTAAAGAAGGCCACTTCGACTAAACATGCTTTCTATGTCAGACCGAGGGGAGGGTTGCAAAAAAGGGTTGGAAGGCGGAACGAGAGAAAACTTACAAGGAATGTGTTTTTAGTAGAAGTGACTTTCGGGATGAACTTTTTAACATTTTGAGAGAATCAGACGTCGACTCCAAATCTGTTTTCACTATCCATTAAGCGCTTGTGGATGCCGAGTTGTGAGTGTTTTTTCCAAGTTGAAATTCACTTGTGATCTAGAAAAAATGTCGTTACGCCTGCCTAGCGCTTAAAGGCAGCGCCCCTTTAAAATGATCGGTACCGGGATTTCGCAGTGTTCCAATGGTAGACCCACATTGTCTATCAGTGAAGTCTGGAGCGAAAAAGCGTTTCTGGAAAGCCCAAAATCCGCTTCGGCAGTCTTCGGAACCCCGCCCTCTTCCAGACCCCGCCCACTTCTTAAACGTAGTTTGGAGCAAACGCCAACATGAAGAGCTTTCAAAAACTTCATTTTTGCTATTTTCAAGCGCTGAAAAACTCAGATATGGCTTCAGCATGGTGAGAAGGTTCCGAAGAAGTGAAAAACCGGAGAGCGAATTTTTGGCGGGATACTGCCTTTAAGCGGTTTTGAGTGTGGACAGACTGAAAGGTTTCACTGCATAAAGCGCCCTGATACCCGGCACTGGCCCATTCGAGCACATTGAGTATTTGATTTAGTTGCGTGCTTAGAATTTGACCTAGAACGTTCACAACTCGAAGTCCAAAGGACAGCAGGGGCTGAGGAAAACTTTCGTAAGGTTGAAATACCATAACAGAGTTTGAGACATACAACCTGTTACCTACCTTATTGATCATAGACTTTCAGGGAGGATGTAAGCAACTCGATGGCGGCGCTATCTGGTGTTGCTGTTTCACGGATCTCTGCAATGGGCCGAGTTTCACAAAAGTCATGACATCGACACCTATAACCACCTACGTGACCTCTTCACCTAGTACTATCCACTCAGGATCTAATATGTTTATCACCCTTGCATCTTTGGCTTTAATGATAAATTTAATCCTTTAACATGCGATAGAGCTTCCAATTTATGAAAGTCGTCTTCTACCTTCATGAAAGCCTTTTTTTCTCAGCGCACACTTGATCTATAACGAAGTATATTCAGCTGTTCGGTTACCATTGTTTATCGCCATGCATGTATATGTTACGTTGTAATGAACTTTACATTTGCAAAGCACTATCAGGGCTCGGCACTAAGTGGCTTTCCGAAAATGCAAAAAAGAGAAGTTCCCCATGACTTTCGAGAAAAAATTTCAAAGTCCCTTTTGACCGTGTTTCCTTAACGCAAAAAACCCTCAAAAAACGAAACGTCGACTAAAAAACGTGAACTAGTTGTGTTTTTAGACCTCAAAAACGATATCCCCTTTGCTTTTTGTCCCCAAAAAACGATATCCAGCTTGCTTATAAGCCACTTGTGAAAAGCCCTGAGCACAAGTACATAACTGCGTGATCAAGTTCGCCTCAGAACGAGAAATAGCAAGATGTCTGTAGTCAGCAAACACCAAACGTTTGATGCAATCAAATATTCGCCACATTACGAAATTGTTACACAATAAATCTTGAAAAATAATTCCAAGCAAAAGATTTAATGTTCTAAGCAAGCAAACGCTTTGTTACAATCTTTCCCGAAGGGCGCAAATCATCTACTGCACAAGCGCGAATTTCTAGAACGTTACCAAATGTATACCTGTCGCAGAAACTCTTTATTCCATGAAAGCGTCCTCAAATATTTAAGCGCTTCTCACCTTCTCATTCCTTGCATTTTTTCCGTATGGCAGCTCATACAACTAACGGTGACAAAAAGCATCACGGTATTTCATAAATGGGGTGATAGGAGATTTAGACAATCTTTCGTTGATCTCACCACACCCTGCTGTTTTTTGCTAGTTAAGAAAGCCTTCATACTGCTATTGTAACATTCCTATGTGGAAGCTGCATACTCTTCTAGCCACCTTCAAGGCGCTTTATGTCCTCTACACCCGTTTCAGTGATTAGGACTAATCCTCGAAATCCACCAAACCAAAGCAACTTTTGAATGGGGAACAATTTTGGGTATTGCCTTCACCTGTGATGCGTAATTTGGTTGTGATTTTTCAGGAAACATTGGTAATAATGCGTGAGGAATTTGCACTCAACTTTACAATGCCTTACTATAGTCAGATTAGAAATATGTGGCAGTTAACCACATATTTCCACATCCATAAAAGTTATATTTTCAACGGCTTATCTGTGCAGTAAACTAGTAACAAAATCAAAATGATATCGCTTCTTAAGGGTAACCATAGCACAATCGAAGATATTTCAGAATATTTTCTGAGAACACTAAATACCGTCACTCCGTTTCGTTCCTTCACTTAGACGGAGTTTAATGTGAGTTCTAAGTCTTCCCCGGTCTCCTCAATGAGGAAAGAAGACACAGAATCATGTACTTGCTCATATTTATTTGTTAAAGGTGGCATCCCGGGTTCCACCCGTTCTGGAGCCAGTCCATCGTGCTTGATCTCTCATGTGGCAAAATTAACCCTTCATTTGATTTAGACTCGTTTCGCTTCCTACCGTCATTACCACATCTTGATCACCAGCAGATCAAAATGAGCTTCACCCATGACTATGAGAAATGTGCATAAACACATAAACACACAGATTTTCTGCTTTGTATATATAGGGTGTCCCAAAAAATGTGCCTACTGTTTGACTGTAAATAACTCTCTTGTAATGAAGTATTTCGAAAAGCTTCAGGAACCGTCTTTTAGAGCGAGGTTAAACTCAAATTTACAGCATAAAGCGAATCATCGATCGCTCTTCATTACTGTAGGATTACACCAAGAACTTCCAGCATACGGATTTAATGTGAAATTTACCACCTAATAAAATTTCATTCGAAAAATCTGAAAAATCGTATATTAGGGTTTTCGCGCATGCTGATTCCACCTAAGAACTTTTTACGAATGTTTTCAGCTTTTTGACGGTGTAATTACGTTTCTGACAAATACTGGGAACTGAGTTATTACGATTTACCGAGGATAACTTTGGAAAGAAGCACCACAGTAGAATGAAAATTTCAAATTCGGAATCAACGGCTCCCATTACCGCAATATAAGAGTTATTGGCTTGTTTGGTTTTGTTCCGAGGCAGAATATAGCCTCCAATGGCACTAAAATCCTTGTCGAATTTCGTACCGTAATCCTACAGTAATGAAGAGCGGTAGATGATTCGCTCCATACTGCAAATCTAAGTTTAACCTCGCTCTACAAAACGGTACCTAAAGCTTTTCGAAACACTTCATTATAAAGAAGTTATTTGCAATCAAACAGTGGGCACATTTTTTTGGGACACCCTGTATATAAAGATTTTTGCAAGTTTATAAAGTTCTGTTTGGTTACTTCAGTGAACTTTCTATTATTAATATCACTGCAAGAATTGTAGAGATAAAGTGGAGTACTTGAATGTGACTTTCTTGTAGTCTTGGTAGTGTCCATATCAAATATATAATATTATTCAACTAGCTGGCTTACCCGGCTCCGCCGTATCCGGACCAAACTTGGCACACATACACTTCGGGCCCCGGCGGGTGTCACAGTCCACTTTTCGTTATCGATCGATGTCGATTTTACCGATTTTTATCGATTTTTTTGCAGAGTTCACCTACAGGGCTAGGAGTTGGCACAGGGGGGGAAGTGAGCATGGGGATTCCGAATACAACATTAGTTTTCAGGATCGTCCATTACTTTTATCGATTTTATCGATTTTTTTTGTAAAGTTTGACCTGCGGGGCTGGGAGTTTGCATAGGGGGGTAATCGAGCATGCTGATTACGAACACAATATTAGTTTTCAGGATCGTCCATTACTTTTATCGATTTTATCGATTTTTTTTGTAAAGTTCGACCTGCGGGGCTGGGAGTTTGCACAGGGGGGTAATCGAGCATGCAGATTACGAACACAATATTAGTTTTCAGGATCGTCCATTACTTTTTCGATTTTATCGATTTTTTGAAAATTTGAGCTAGGGGGCTGGAATTTGGCACAGGAGTGTAATCGAGCATGCTGATCACCCCCCTTGGGGGTGATCAGCATGCTCGATTACCCCCCTGTGCCAACTCCCAGCCCCCTAGCTCAAACTTTGCAAAAAAATCGATAAAATCGATAATAGTAATCGATAATCCCGAAAACCAATATTGTACTCGGAATCCTCATGCTCGATTACCCCCCTGTGCCAACTCCCAGCCCCGTAGCTCAAACTTTGCAAAAAAATCGATAAAATCGATAAAAGTAATCGAAAATCCTGAAAACGAATATTGTATTCGGATTCCCCATGCTCGATTACCCCCCTGTGCCAACTCCCAGCCCCGTAGGTGAACTCAGCAAAAAAATCGATAAAAATCGATAAAATCGATATCGATCGATGACGAAAAGTAGCCTATGACACCCGCCGGGGCCCGTAGTGTATGTGTGCCAAGTTTGGTCCGGATCGGTTCAGAAATGGAATTTTCTATTCGGAACATACGTACACACAGACAGACAGACATACAGACAGACATACAGACAGACATACAGACAGACAAACAGACATTCAGCTTTATATATAAGATTGTTGTGTTAGTGATTGATAATGATCAGTTGTTGTTTGTTGTGTTAGTGATTGATAATGATCAGTTGTTGTTCCTCATAGTGATCTGCCTCGCGCAGTGGATCGCAACCTCAGAGTGCGCGGGAAATTGAGCGCTATAAAAGGCGCTTACTCAAAACCTTAGTCAGTTCTATCGTTCTGCAGTTCAGTCGTTGTTCACTCACCCGCCTCTGGGTTTTGTCTACTTGATTTACTTCTGATAAATATTCCTATTTCTTCTTCTCTCTCCTCCCGAAGATAACGAAGCCTTGAAGAGTGTTTAAACGTGAAGGACACAACAATAATACAATATAACAATGTTGAATTTATGATCATCCAATAGATATGTATGACCGTACGATTTTCTATATAAGGTAAAATGAAGTCGTACTTTGATAACTTATGTTCATAGTTTAAGTTATATTCTAATCGAACCCTACTGATGGTCCTCCGCTTCCCATACCTGTTTCACGGTTAGAGAAGGTGATAAGAGCGCCCGACTTGGAATGTGCACAGGTTAGATATTTACCGTCAAATTGATCTGTACCTTATATAGTAACCGCAAATGGTTGTGCGTACTTCAGATGACTGAAACTCTAGAAAGCAAAAAACTTAACGCCGCGGCGGTTTGTTGTCAACAAAACACTTCTGTTACTTTCTCTTTAAAGAGATTCCTTGGACCGCCACTGTATAGTAATCTTACCATGGGGTCGCGAAGGTGGAGAGAAGATAGAGGGGAAGCACGGGCAAGTTGCAAGCACTTTCATTCGTCTGCCTGTATTTCTACCTGTTTGACAACTTATGAGCAAAGTTACAAAGTTGCAAAAGAAAAAAAATATTTTTACAAAGTTATAGATGTAAAAAAATCTATTCATTATTGGAGCTGCAATTGTAATCACAAATTTGAATGGTAACATCATACAAAACACCATTAAAATGAGAAGTAAGCAGGCGAAACCAAAGCGATTTTTCGAGATGGTGCAGAACATGAGTTTCAACCCGATAGCAGTTTTGCAGCATATGTATTAGTCTCATGCAAATTATTACTAATTATGCTGCGTTGGTAACTGCTCTAATTAGTTACATATTTGGTCCTCCCAACATTAAGTGGATATTCTAAAGTAGCGCTACGACTGATTCAATAACAAGTATTATAAAATTTTCTTTATATGAGTTTATCAACACTTCAAAAAAATTCGTAACAAACGTGTTGTGTCAGAGCTCCGAGTGGAAGGGGCCGCAAAAGCGCAAATGTTTCGTGCAAAGCTGGAGTTTTGGAGGTTCAAGGTAATTTGGTCAGGAAGTTCCAGTCCTTGATCTATTAGAAGACTCCTTTTTTCGACTCCTTCGACATTTCATAAACTCGAATCTCACAAACGAGACACTGCCGCAAGCAGTTTACAACTAACAATTGTCGCAAAGATTGTCGTCATGGAAAGTTCATCAGCACCTTACAGACAATTCATGTGAATAGCCGCAACGTCGTTCTTGTAGTACAACCATAACTTCAAATCGAACGGGTTCGATGACGGCGAAAGAACATATACATGTCGCCTTTTATGTAGAGATGTTGCGTCATGCCATTTCTACATTTTTTTTTCAGTTGTTTTACTCACTTAGGTGCTTCTTATACACTGCTTGTGGAAGATCCCAGTTGTGCTCGAATTGTGTATGACTGAAGAAAATCTTTGAAATTGGATTT